ACTATTTGGAATGACTCATTAGGTCGTAGTAAAGTCTATGGTCTGGTCCTATGCACATTGATAATTGTCTCCCCCTAGTGTTCTGGAGCCCTTCCATTATGTAGAGCGAACTGGAACATTTCTTCACTTGCAGTTCTTTAAGCTACCTCCAGTATTTTGTTAATTGGGCTTGTTCATGCTGCTTGTGTGTAAACCTTATTTAGTATGCATTTTGTTACAGGTTTATATTTGCAGCATTTTTGCACTTTTCTGCTCCCTGTTTGATATGATCGGTGCATTTTTTTATTTGCTGCATTTATTATGCTCCTTTGTAGCATTTTTGCTTGGTTTAGTGTTTGCAGGCCTAAATTTGGCTATTGGTTATACTTTTTGTATTTCCTACACAATAATGTATTTGCATGATGTTTGCAACCCTCAGCCTGTATTCATTTTTTTCCCTGATTTATCTCTAAAAGTGCAGCTCTTTTTGGGGTATGACAGGTCTGCAATGGTCAGTATTTAACATAATAGCAACAAGAAAGATAGAAGTTGTCGCCAAGTGTTAAAGAGTTGCCAGCTTCAGTCCAACTGATTAGTTAATGCAGCTCATATTACTAGAAGTTATGCTTGCTCTAATGCAGCTGTGTCAGGACACGGTGTATCATACTTTATTGCCTGTGATGCTTTATTACCACAGACCCATCATAGTGTCTTTGCTGGTCTTAGTGTTGTGCCTGATCATATTATGGATAATCTATCATAATTTATGTATTATAATTACTCAGAGATGGGAAGTAACAAAGTACAAATACTTCGTTACTGTACTCAAGTAGATTTTTCTGATATTTTTACTTTACTTTACTACTTATTTTTATGGCGACTTTTTACTTCTACTCCTTACATTTTTACACAAATATCTGTACTTTCTACTCCTTACATTTTAAAAAATTGACTCGTTACTTTAGTTTTGAATCATTTCAATGGAGTTACCGTTATTATTTTTCACGTCATCAATACCAAATTCAATCCAATTGGATGGGAATCTACGTTGCATTTGACGCACCACTACAAGATGAATCGACAGATTCGGCTGCATTTATTTGTGGCAAATCATTGCAGCTTGGTGGCGGTGGCGTTAGCATAGTAGTATGGACGACGAGATGATTGAAAATGAACACAACGGAGATCTAGTCGTATTGGCAGACATCCATTAAAAATGTAGGCAACGGCATGAAAAAAGTGGTTTCTACTTTTACTTTTATACTTTAAGTAAATTTACAAGCCAGTACTTTGTTACTTTTACTTGAGTAAAGAAGTTTAATCAGTACTTCCACTTTTACCAGAGTATTTTTTAACACAAGTATCTTTACTTTTACTCTAGTGCGGAAAGTGAGTACTTTTGCCATCTCTGAAAAGTATGTGCTCCAAAAACTACTTAAAGTATAAAAGTATAAAGTAACCTTTAAGAAAAACGCCAGATGCCACTATATGAATTGAAAGCTCAATTTTTTGACTATTTCAAAAAATTCTTTGAGATAGAGCCAAGGATGAGGGAGGTCTTGTTGGTCTCCGACTCCATATCTAGATACGCTCTCGCCTGTGTCCGACCTTTCAGACATTTAGACATGTTTTTCTGAATCCAGCATTGTAGCATGGCATAGACAATTCACGTTTGCAGTTTGAAGAACACCTACTTGCTTCTGATGATTTCCTTTAGCTAACCAATGAGTGTTTGCATTATATGACTCGTTCATGGCATGAAATATATATTTATAAACATTAAACCACGGGTAACTTATAAAAAATCAGTGGGGTCTGAATAAAGAAAATCAACCAGTAAATGTCCGGAGACATTTTTAATGATCTGTTACTTTAAACAGAATTTAACACTGAAATAAAACGATGTATTTATGCATTCATGTTATGCATTGAATAAAAAAAAAAAGATAAAAAAATAAAAATAGAAATTGCCAAATAGTGCATCCCATGCTATCTGAGAGGAGTTGACACTTGTATGACTGTATTCCTGTATATCCATCAGTTGTTAAAGGACAAGAGTCAGCAAATGCAAATTCTGCCCTGTAAAACAATGACAGCGCAATTGTCGCTGTATGATCTGAAGCCTCATTTGGAGCTTTTAAACAGGCTTTTGAAAAACTTTGATAATTGACTGCTGTAATATTATATATTTTTTAGAATAAAAAGCTAGCAGATGTGCATAATCAAAAAATAACAGAAATACAATTATAGAGCATTCAGTATTGTAAGAAAGCCCACACTGTTTCTGAATAAATACATTATTGTATGAGTTACATTCTGTTCCTTTTATATCTCTTTCCTTGTAAGTATGAAATGTCCCATGCTCCTGAATGCACCATAGCTATCTGACGCTCGCAAATGCATCACACTGGTCTGTGTAGATGCGCGTTTGATTTTCAGCTGAAGACAAAGCTTTGCCGTTTTAAAACCCACGTCGGCTAATCACTGTTTATTGTTGTGTGTGAATAACAAGAGATTACAACAAATACATCAGCTTTACCTCGGACAAAATCTTTGGATTTAATGTTCATAACATCGCAGTCCGCTAATCCGTGACCTGTGCTTTAAACCGAAGCCAAGAGTAACGAGTAACGTTTGTTTAAAAAAATGTAAGGAATAGAAAGTAAAGATACATGTGAAGTATTTGTATTTCGTTACCTGACACCTGTGATTGCCACAAAGAAACTACAACTAGCTTTGAGGACTCATCCTACTGAACAACTTGGTCACATGGCAACAACTTCTTAAATTAACCTTAATAAAATATGTAAAATACCAATAATATCATTGGTGGAATTTCATTCATTTCTCTAAAACAGTTTTGTCCAAATTCAGTCCTCAAGGGCTGCCATCTGGCATGTTTTCTTTTTCCTTGACCCAGTTGTGTTAAAAAAAAAGAAGAAACTTTGAACTCTGGCAGAAAGAAAAAAGGCAGCAATGGATTACAAAGCTAAGCTGAGCCAAAAGGAAATACCAGCTTCCTAGAAATGTAGTGGAATAGAAAGTACAATATTTGACTTTGAAATGTCGGGGAGTAAAAGGGGGGCAACATATATAACCCAGTTACAGCAGTTCTGTTGGAATGAGGAAGCCGATAGAGGCAATTGTTTATCATTCTGGCCTTTAGCAAACAAAACAACCTGCATCTTGTTTATAGTATATATATATATATATATCGCTTTCATTTTTTATAGCGAATATATGTTAATCATTGATTTGGGATTTTCTCCACTCAGTAGTCTGTAGTCTTAAATGTTTCAGATTCAGCTGGTGCAGCTTCTCCATTCCCCTCCTCTCAACCTCAAAGTTCCAAATGTGCAGAAACCAAAATATGCAAGAATGATTATTGTCTGCTACTAATTTTAACGTCCAAACTGAAGCCACTGGTTGTTCCAACTAAAGTAAAGGTAAAAGTCTGTGGGCTCAGATATTTTCTGATCCCAGAATGGAGGTTGGACGGTGTTATGTCTGAGCAGGTCCTCCTTATACTATAAGTGGAAGAAAACAGCAAAAACAATTTGGTTCATTTCCTTTAATGTAAATCAGTGTACAGCAAAGCTAGTTTCCTTGTAAGGCACATTTTGGCAAAATGACAATTCAAAGTGCTTTATATGATGACGTCATACATACATTGCAGTGGCATCATCAACAGAAGTCCAGCTGGACTACAGACTGAAATAAATGTTTGGGTTTTATGTTTTAAAAGAATATTGCACATCTGGTTGCTGCAGTGGAGGCGATGCAAGTTAATTTATCCCATTAATTACCAGGAGAAATGTCCATAAAGTCCAAATACCTCCAGCTCCATCCATTAAGAGAATAAAACAAATCAATGTTAAAATATAGAAACACATTTTCTAAATATTTGAGTTCAGCTAAATAATTTAAAAATTTGGATCCATGAGCAGCATTAAGTAAAGCAAGGTTTAAAAAAAAAAAAAAAAAAACTTCTCCTTTTCTTTCATGTGCTTCAGCACACGATGCAACACGGTGGTGGAATGGTCTTCTTGCTATCAACAGTAAAATATTTTCAGTATAATTTAAGCTTATATAACATTAAATGGTATGAAATAAAGCTTTATTATCAATTTAAAAAGTAATCGATAATAATGTTGATATGAACCTGATATCAAAATGCTACTACGATGGGGTCCAGGGGTGCTTTGGTTGAAAAGGCTAAAATAAAAGCAAGAGGGTTTTATTCCATGTTCAGCTTAACAGATGAGGGAATGATGAAAACATGAAGCGTTTTCCTCTTTTCCTGCTTTCAACCAAGTAGAACTCAAACAATTAAACATTGTAAGCTGATTGGTTAAGGCAAGAACAGTAATATACTATATCTTCTTTCATTAAAAGTCAGTTTCATCCTAAAAATAAATGTTAAAATTGATCAGATCATGTCATCATGTCATGAAGTTGGAATGATCAGTAGGATAAAGCCTTTTGGTCCTTCCCAGCCAGCTCAGTTGCAGTCCTTCAAAACATCACCACAAATGATCGAGTTAGTGAGGGTCTTATTTGGGGACGTTCTAATCAATTTTCTTGAACATTAATCACTTTCATACCTTTGGTCGGATATATGTGGTGTAATTCTCAGGAGATGCTGCACTCATAACTGTAGTATAAACAGTGATTCTAGGAGGATTTTAAGAAACAAGAAATAAAAAAAAGATCAAATGAAGGAAGTACTGGAAAAGAAAAAAAAAATCTAGATTTTGTGTGAAGACTATAGAACAGGACTAAAGCAGAGGTGCATCTGATCTACATGTGCAGGGTTCCTACGCAGACTTAGAAAGCGTGGAGTTTTGTTTAAGGAGTATTCAGGTCCGGATAAATATGAAGAAGAAGAAAATATCTGCATTTCTAGAGTTAAGTCCTAATTTAGTCATTAACTTTTCAAAAAGGTCTTATTATCCTGACATAAGTGTTTTGTTGTGTTTTTATTATTAATGCATTAAAAACAGGAAGATAGTGTGTTTGATCACATAAAAAAAAAAACAATCCAAAGATTACTTAAAGTTAGCAGATAAAGAGGAAAAATAATCAAACATCTTACTCGTTACAGACGGGAGGCATGGACAAAACCTGCAGGGAAAGACTCAGACCTTTACAATCTGTTTATATTAGAAATATTCAGACACTCTTAATAAAACCAGTATCAACTAAACCTAAAACCTCCTTACTATTGACTTTACCTTTATTTCAAAATCAAATTTTTAAATCAGATGGCTAAAAAATGAGACTGGTGCAGAATAAGAAGAATCTATTATGACTTAAAATCCAAATAAAACACATAAAAATGTGTGGTTTTAACCCCCTCCAGCCAGATGTTGCAGATTTGCAACAGCTAAATGCCACTAACTAATTACTCCACATCCATATTTTAAGAGCTTTCGTTACTCAGAAGTACAACAGAAGGACTTAGTTGTGCATTTGCAACAAACAGTTTCTCTCCAGCTCACCAGACAGCACTGCTCACTCACTTTCAACATGGCTGAGTCCTTGGTGTCACTGAAACAGATTTTCTAAGCACCAGTTTCATGTAAGTATCACTACCAATTTCCATTATTTTGAAATCAATACTACATAAGATGAATCATGAATGTGTATAGATATGACACATGCCAATTAGTAGATTTTATCTCCTCTGGTTTTTCACCTGAGGCATCTCGATTTCAATGTTGTGGATTTGCAACGTGTGCCCAAACAGGTACCAATGGATGCTACATGCTTTATCTTCTAGTTTGCCTTTATTTTGAGCAACAGTTTAACAAAAACGGCCTTCTCAAGAGGTTTTGAGATGTCGGTGGAGAAAAAGTTTGAACAAAAAGTTGTCTCTAATTTTGTGAGAGAATTTTTTTTTCGAATTTTGTTTTGTTCATTTTTTGTTTGTGACATTCAAACTAAAGTTAACGTTCATATCAGACTCAGTCATCAATGTTAATTTACCACTCCAGGACACTGTTGCAAATCTGAATTCATTGCATATGAAGGTCTCTCTCAAAAAAAGCCTGAATTGTATATTACTACCCCATATGATCATTTTCTCCAAATATCAGATTATTCCTGCAACTACAACTTAATTTGAGCCTGAGAGGGTTAAAGGAATAGTACACCCAAAACATGATTAGCCTTCATTTTCTACTCACCCCCATGCTGAACAACACTCTGGAGTACTTTTTTGATATCTCAAATGCATCTGGAGATCTGGGAGGCTTCTTGCTGTCTGCTGACATTCAAATAATGGAGGTCTATGGTGACCGAGACAGAAAGGTCCATAAAAGTCCACAAAAAACGTTTCAATATTCCTCCATACTGCTCGTCCAATGTATTCCAAGTGTCCTGAGTGGGTAGCATCCAGAATTTACTCGAAACGAAGTCATTTAGAATGTTTTTAGAGCATAAACAGTAGTGTATAGGATTTCCTGAAAGCGCGCGCCGGCGCGTTCACGACGCTACGGAAGCCAGCAGACCAAACCAAATGAAAGTGCGCATTCAGCGTCTGCTCTGCCGATAATGCAAGCGTAGAAGAAGAAATGTGCTGTTTACCTGTGCAAAGAAAGAAACAACGAAATAAAAATGTCTGAGGACTTCAGGGTTCGAGGAAGAGCATGAGTTCTTTGCCGAGCTGAATGCGCACTTTCATCTGGTTTGGTCTGCCGCGGTTTCCGTAGACTCGTGAACGCGCTTTCAGGAAATCCTATACACTACTGTTTATGCTCTAAAAACATTCTAAATGACTTCATTTCGAGTAAATTCTGGATGCTACCCACTCAGGACACTTGGAATACATTGGACGAGCAGTATGGAGGAATATTGAAACGTTTTTTGTGGACTTTTATGGACCTTTCTGCCTCGGGCGCCGGGCACCTCCATTATTTGAATGTCAGCAGACAGCAAGAAGCCTCCCAGATCTCCAGATGCATTTGAGATATCAAAAAAGTACTCCAGAGTGTTGTTCAGCATGGGGGTGAGTAGAAAATGAAGGCTAATCATGTTTTGGGTGTACTATTCCTTTAAGGTGATGATGTGTGAAAAAGTTTAATATATGAATTCTTTTTGTAGAGCAATGTAGAGACAGAGCTGACGTCACCTACCTGATACAACTGACCCATATTCATGTGATCTTGACCGGTAGCATTGAGTGCCTTATTTGCTGTTTCCCTAAAAGACGGTCAGATGACAGCAGTGTATTCATAGTTAGCAAACATTATGGATCATCATCATGTGAGATGACTGACCTTCGATGGTCTTTTGCAGGAGTAGGAAGCCAGTGGTCAAAGTTCGTCTCCACTCTGAACCATCTACACAAACCAGGAAGGTGGTGTTACTTGTTTGAATGAGTCATCCATCCGACAGCAACCAGCTCCTCCTTACCCTCCAGTTAATGGGTCCAGGGGCCAGATGTCAGCTGGGCCCTTTCTATCTCTGGTGATGACGACCCCCTCCCCTGCTCTCACCCCACCAACGATGTAATACACCCCAGCGATAAGGGGGGTTTTAGACAGACGCATGACTGCATCCTGAAAGTCCTCTGCTTCCTCCAGGGTCTGCATGAATTACACACCATTAATTACACTTCCTCAAGCCTTAGATGTTGGTTCCCCACCATCATCTGCAGCGGACTCACCTCCCTCACAAGCCAGCTGTCTGGGGATCTGTGAAACAGGACTGCGGACACAAAGTTCTTCCACCAGTTCCACCAGTGCTTAGTTCCTGAGGAACCAGGACACAAACTTTCAGACCGGAAAACAATAAGATGCAACATTTGTACAACCATGAGAAATTCTCACCTCGCTGGTCACCAGACACTGTGAACTTCCCGGGACTCATTCCTGTCCACAAGCCAACATAACCAGCAAATGATGTTCCAGTGTAGGCCACCTAAAAGCCAGGGTCAACACAGAACCATCACAAAATCCTCTTCCACCAGACAAGTGTTTAAATTACTGCTGCATTTCAGCTTGTTAATGACAGTAGAACTGATCTAACGGTACAATCTCTGCAGAAGCTGAAGGGTTTGAATGCTTAAAATAGCCAGAGTACCAAGAACTTAAACTGTTTGCATAACAGATATCTGGAACTAGAGAATGATTACTTCAATAAACATGAAAATGCTGACCTTACAAACTGTATCTCTAAGTAAAAAAATCTGCTTTTAATGATTGCATGGAAGGCAAGATAAATCAGGGTACGGGATGTTTCTAAAACATAACAGACAAGCAGGTCTTTGCAAGGTTCACCTCCATTTGGTGTTAATTTTCCAACAGATGTAAGCATCAAAGAGAGAGGCGTGGATCTATGGGGTATTTAAGTAGAAGGGTGAATAGAATCAGATCATTTTCAGCTTCAACTCTCTCCCAGGCAGAAACTGTTACATTTAGTGAGGTGGTGAGCGAAGAAAATAAAGAATGGGGATGCACGACATATTAACACTGTCATCAACATGTAACGCTACAATAACTTCAACATATTTATGACAGATGATCATTTCCATCATGTCTGTGTCCTCGGAGATGGAGGGGATGTTGGTCATTTTTATTAGTTTGGGTATGTGGAAGTGATACAGTGCAGGATCAAGGGCTGTCTCACTGACACTGAGAAGCAATGTTGCCACTGTGGTTGTTTCTTTATTAGTTTTTTTTTTACAGTATCAGAACTATGGGGTTATATAGAGAGCTGTAGCCTGACGTAGTCCGACTCAATTCTAGTCAGAATATGAGTCTGATACTGCTCCATAGAGCTGTGATTATGGGGCGTGTTTTGAACGAACCAGGAAAAAAATGCCTCTGCACTCAATTGGATAGACCTACAACCAATAAGAGCAACGGAGTGCGTGACGTATCTTAAGCGAGGCATAGTTGTTGTCCACAAAAATCAAAGCGTGCAGTTTCACGCCTAGAATAAGAAGATGAGCCTTGATCGCGTTTCTCTGTTCCTCTTTTAAAATTAATTTGCTGTCGATATCTTCTAGAACAGACCTAATAGCAGAATCTACTCACCCAAACTCTCCAGCGGCAGCCATTATTGTTGTCACCCAAGCGCGCTTTGGTCACGTGGTTGATAACTTTACTCTTGATCATCTGTCCATCATCGTATAAAGCCCGCCCTGACAATTTGATTGGATCGCCTGACAGTGGGCTTTAATACTCGCGCTACTATGGAGCAGAGCCAGACCGAACTTCCCCGAACTCAAACCTTGTGGGCGGGACTAAGTTCGGACTGGCACCCAGGCTAAGAGAGCTGGGTAATATGGCTTAAAATCTAATCTACAACCTTTTTCTACCAAATCAGATGAATACATTTATTCCTTAACGTTTCATTAAAAAATTGCTTTCAAAGACATAATTGTACTTCAATCATCCCCTCTGGGAGGTGGCCTTAATTTAAAGGGCCACAAAATTCAAATGCCTGTAAAACAATATTTCACAATAAACAGTGAAAATCTAACAAATAAATGTATTTTCCAAGTGGTGTCGCCCATTTAGTTTATCAGTTTTAAGTACACAACTAAGGACAAAAAGTGATGAATTGTGAATAATTTCCCAGTCTTAATCAATAATATATATATATCGTTTTTTTGGCCACAATGAATATCAGATATCAGTCCAAATTTTCTTTATTTATTCCCTCATGGTAGAAAAGCATTGCAGCATTTAATAGAAAACTATATTTGCAACAGAAACATGTGTGCCATTTATCTGAACACTGCAGCAGTCAGACTGCTCTTTATGCCACTGCTTTGTTGTTTCCTTCGGTTTCAGCTTTGGTCATTTAAAAATCATCTTTTTGAGTGGGAGACTGAGCCTTTGGCCTCAGGGTCTCACCTCATATCTGAGATTTTTTGTAACATTAGTGAAGCACTAAATAAACGCATTTAAACAAAGTTACTGTTTGAGTTCTATTAACCCTTCCATCTCTGCCATTCATTAAACATTTTGGATTTGTAACATTTCAGTTAATGCATAGATCTATATTTTAATGGTTACGCATGCAGACTTCTATTGTAATAACGTTAACTTTGCTAATTGCTAATATTGGAAACAGAAAGTGGGTTATAGTGCGGTTATAGTGCGGCTATCGCCATAGTGTTTCGCTTGTTTCATGCATATAAATAGCTTTATTATAATTATGCAGGGAGTTTTGCAGATTATATGGACACTGCAATGTAAGTAGAACAGGAAAGGAAAAACAGAAGAAAAAGGAGAAAAGATGAAAGAAAGAGGAGATAAAAAGGAGATAACGATAAAACATTTTCAGTCTGCTTTATCACCTGCAAAGAGATGTAAAAAGAACAGCACAACCAACAGACATGGTATGAGAAATACATACAATAAAGTAACACCCAGATACTATCGCTGAAGTATAAGTAGTATTATTTAATCTGACATATACTCTGTGTTACCTGAAGATAAGAATATGGGCTTTCTGTATGGAAGTGAATCTCTAAATCACTTTTTTCATTTTTGAATGAGAGCAACTCCATCTCTGCCACACACAGTGTGACATCACATCTATTTCCACCAAAGAAAATGCTCATGAACTCAAGGCTAAAATTTTATACTCTGAACGCTGTTATTGCAATTAAAAAGGATTTTGCTTTCCATAACAGGAGAGCTAAATTCAGTCTTGGATTTCTCATGGTAACAATTTTAAGTTAGAGCAATAAGAAAAATATTCTGTGGTTGAAGTTCTGTTTTTTTTTTTTTTTACTTTCCATAAATTCTTTTAAAGAATTCTTTTAACTTTGGACTGATATTTTACCTTCCCGTTCTTCTGAAAGTGTAAATTCACAGTCATATTCCTCAGAACAGCATGGGGATAGTCCAGATTCCTCCCATGGTAGATGTTACCATTTTTATCTTGAGCCACGATGCTGGTGCAAAATCTATAGAAGCAGAAGGTTGGATGGCTTAAATGGACATGGCTGTTTATATGTTAATCAGTTTGGGTAGGACAAGGATTAGTCAATTTACAAATTTAAGACATGTATCCAAAACTATACGTACGCCGTTAACTCATAGGCAAAGTTAAGGAGGATGGCGTCTGACAGGTTTCCTCCGAGGACAGAGCGCAGACCGTGGATTTCTCCAGCGTATGGCTGAGGAACATATTGTTCCAGAGATGTCACAATAGGGATGACTGCTTGATGGACCCATTTTGGAACTGTTGATCTAATGAAGCAAACATAAAGAAATACAGAGGAAACCACATCATAATGGCCACTGTAGATCATAAGGAAACATAAACATAGAGTCTCTGATAAAAACAGGGTTTTATCAAAGATAAACCAAAATGGATTTCTTTTTTTATCACATTCTTTGACGTGCGAGCATTCAGTTCAAAAACAAAATATATTTGTCAAAGAACCAAATCAGTACCAACGTGGTTAGCTGTACGAAAGCAGGAGGATAAGGTATAAACTAAGTTAAAAAAATATAGTTTTAAAACAGTTCCTGAGTGCCTTGTAAGTTTAACTTTGGGTTGAAGGATCTTGTTTTTTTATCGGTAATTAAACATTTTTGCTCTTTAGCACTACATAAAAGACTTAAGTTGAAGGAATGTATTTCTATTTTTAAAATAGAAATAAATCACATGAGATTAGAAATCACATGAGATCAAAGGGCTGTGATGACATTTTTAGGGAATAAAAATAGGGAAGATGAATAAAACATCAAATATAAATCCAAGCACATGATCTATTATAAGGTGGTTTATTACTTAGTAAATAAAACTATATTGTACATCTTTCATTTTGTATGCTGATTTCTTCTCCAAATACTTCTTTCTGTTAAAAACATTTTATCCCTGTTATCATTACCAAATATTTCAGGCATTAAGCATTAGTAATATAAAAATGCTGCAGGAAACATTTAACAAAAAGCAGTTATTTGTGTGTTCATTGTGGTCACATATCATATGTTTGTCATCTTGCAGGAATTCTGTTAAATTGTTCAGGAAAATAGTTTTTAAAATGAAGTTATTAAAAAGTAAAGGCATGAATTGTGATTGAAGATAATGCTTGCTATCTGCAGCTGTGATAAAGGAGTCCTAATCTTGTTTTCAGCAGTAATAAATGACTCATTACCTGAACGCAGGTTTTCATATGAACTTAGCTCACCTAACTGAGCTCTAAACATTATTTAGCTTGACAACTTCCCAAAAGCTTTTCTTAAACTCTGTTAAATGGAAAATAATAATCAGAGGTGTAGCCAGAAAATTTGAATAAGGTTGGCCAGGCTATAACCAATGTACGCTGAGGGGGGGCCAAAAATGGATAGCCACCAGAACCTGAGGGTCAATTTACGCTGTTCCAACAGGAAAATGAACAATGACAACATCCATATTTTCTAAATAAAGACAAACTAAACTTTAAACATCCATGCTGTCTAAATTAAAGGTGTAGTGGACAAAATTCGTTTAGTTTTGAATTCTGTGGCGAACATCTTATTCATTACCATTACTCACCTACTTTTATTAAAAATCATTCTGCATAAAATGAATATTTACATGTGCTAATATCTACATTTAATGGATTACTTATTATTAAAGTAGTTATTTATCTCAGATTTCAGTGAATATTCCTAGATCACTTGCAGAGACATCATTTTCTCTTTACACCGTATAAGTCAAAATCTAGTTCTGAAAAGTGCACGAATTCTGTATTTATCTTTAATGTTAGTATATTGATGTGCATAATTAACCACAGTGTTTTTGTTGTCAGGTAATTGTTTACATATAGAAAATTAAAATGTTAAATAAGGAAGAACATTCCACTTAAGCAATGTCGCAAAATGACACAACAATAGGCCTGTAAGCAACATTATCTGGGTGGGCCCCATATGAAGTACAACACCCCATTCACCCCATTTAATCTACTCTCTGGATTACCCATAATTCCAAGTCGTACAGTAAAAAATAAAATAATCAAATACATTGTTCTTTTAAGATCTTTATTGCGGTTTGAAACATATTATACAAGTTCTTTTTTTTTTTTTTTTACCAACCATCTAATGAACTATACACAGTTATTAACATAGTAATTAAAAGTACCACTGTCTGCTTTGCTATTGGTGTTTAGGGCTCACCATCATGGCTCACCATCATGTTGAGATCTGGCTTGTGTTGGGGTTTGCGTAGGGGGCCTACCAGAAGTCAATGAAGGGGCCCCTAAGCGGTCGGGGGCCCCTAAGAGACTGCAGTCTCTGCTTACTGATAGTTACACCATTGCACTTGAGAGTATTACTGCTGCCACCGTCTGTATTAGAAGGAAAAAATGGTAGTGGGGTGGCCAATGATTGGGTAAGGGTGGCCATGGCCACCCCTGGTCCCCCATCTAGCTCCGCCCCTCATAATAACACCGAGATTATCGTGAAAAGATGCCGTAAACTAGACTTACTCGATAATTTCAGCCGCTGCTTTGCTCAAGTAGTCTGGATCAAAGACTTTTTTGAGAGGCAACCATCGCAGCTCCGGATCATCGTCCAGGTTGATGAGAATCGTTGGAGGAGAGATCTGAGCCCGCAGGGGGCCAGAGAGTCCCAGCAGCAGCAGCAGTAGCGGCACCATCCTGCTCACCTGCAGAAAGAGGAAGAACAAACACATAGGAACACTTTCTGCTACTATGCTGTCAGATGGAAACAAAATACACATTTCCGCTAAAAGCTTTTCAAAATAAAATACGCATACGGTTAAAATATAAGGAAGCAAGGAAGTATTTTACCGTAATCGTATTCAAATTGAATGTTTTTGCATTTTTGTCACACTTGAAAGTCTCACATAACCAAATGAAATTGTTATGCCACACAAAGAAAAGGGAAATTAATATAAGCAGAGTTATTTTGGGGTTTTTATTTCTCTCTCTCTCTTTCTTTAATGCTGATTTTGTAGCCTACTTTGCTTATTTGGGGAAAAACTATCCAGATACATTTTTTATCTAATGGATAAAAAATATTAGTTCCCTTCTTTAAAATCATTCATCCTAATTAAACCCTTAAACATACCTCTGCCAGTCATCAAATGAAAACACTCTAGAGGTCAATTTTCCTTAAAATATGCACGCAAAACACATTACAAGGTCATCACAATCCTCTAGAATAGAACATTTGCCTAGCATGTTTTAATTAAAAATCAAGTTCCTGAAAATTTCCTAGCCTGTAATTTACATGGAATTCCATCAAGGGGTTTAAACTTGTTCTCTCAAAGGAAACTGATCAGACCAGTTTTCATGTTGTTTGTTAAAGTGGCATCTGTGCTTTCTCCTGAAGATTTTTCTGTTTGTAGCGCAGCTCTGCCCCCTTGTGGCAAAAAAGTATTTAGTCAGCCACCAATAGTGCAAGTTCTCCCACTTAAAAAGATGAGAGAGGCCGGTAATTTTCATCATAGATATACTTCAACTATGAGAGACAAAATGAGAGAAAAAAATCCAGAAGATCACATTGTCTGATTTTTAAAGAATTTATTTGCGAAATATGGTGGAAAATAAGCATTTGGTCAGTTACAAACAAGCAAGATTTCTGGCTCTCACAGACCTGTAACTTCTTCTGTAAGAGGCTCCACTCGTTACCTTCATTAATGGCACCTGTTTGAACCCGTTATCAGTATAAAAGACACCTGTCCACAACCTCAAACAGTCACACTCTAAACTCCACCATGGCCATAACTAGAGAGCTGTCAAAGGACACCCGAAACAAAATTATAGACCTGCACCAGGCTGGGAAGTCTGAATCTGCAATAGGTAAACAGCTTGGTGTGAAGAAATCAACTGTGGGATCAATTATTAGAAAATGGAAAACATACAAGACCACTGATAATCTTCCTTGATCTGGGGCTCCACGCAAGATCTCACCCCGTGGGGTCAAAATGATCACAAGAACGGTGAGTAAAAATCCCAGAACCACACGGGGGGACCTAGTGAATGACCTGCAGAGAGCTGGGACCAAAGTAACACAGGCTACCATCAGTAACACACTACGCCGCCAGGGACTCAAATCCTGCAGTGCCAGACGTGTCCCCCTGCTTAAGCCAGTACATGTCAAGGCCCGTCTCAAGTTTGCTAGAGAGCATTTGGATGATCCAGACGATGATTGGGAGAATATCATATGGTCAGATGAAACCAAAATAGAACTTTTTGGTAAAAACTCTACTCGTCGTGTTTGGAGGAGAGAGAATGCTGAGTTGCATCCAAAGAACACCATACCTACAGTGAAGCATGGGGGTGGAAACATCATGCGTTGGGGCTGTTTTTCTGCTAAGGGACCAGGACGACTGATCCGTGTGAAGGAAAGAATGAATGGGGCCATGTATCGTCAAATTTTGAGTGAAAACCTCCTTCCATCAGCAAGGGCATTGAAGATGAAACGTGGCTGGGTCTTTCAGCATGACAATGATCCCAAACACACCGCCCGGGTAACGAAGGAGTGGCTTCGTAAGAAGCATTTCAAGGTCCTGGAGTGGCCTAGCCAGTTTCCAGATCTCAACCCCATAGAAAATCTTTGGAGGGAGTTGAAAGTCCGTGTTGCCCAGCGACAGCCCCAGAACATCACTGCTCTAGAGGAGATCTGCTTGGAGGAATGGGCCAAAATACCAGCAACAGTGTGTGAAAACCTTGTGAAGACTTACAGAACACGTTTGATCTCTGTCATTGCCAACAAAGGGTATATAACAAAGTATTGAGATGAACTTTTGTTATTGACCAAATATTTATTTTCCACCATATTTTGCAAATAAATTCTTTAAAAATCAGACAATGTGATTTTTTGGATTTTGTTTTCTCATTTTGTCTCTCATATTTGAGGTATATCTATGATGAAAATTACCTGCATCTCTCATCTTTTTAAGTGGGAGAACTTGCACTATTGGTGGCTGACTAAATACTTTTTTGCCCCACTGTATTTTATACACAATATTTTCTATTTTTATAATTGCATTGTATTTTATGATTGTGTACAGCACTTTGGTCTAGTCCTGTGTATAAAGTGCTTCATAAATAAAGGTATGGTATGGTATGGTATGGTATGGTATGGTATGGTATGGTATGGTATGGTATGGTATGGTATGGTATGGTATGGTATGGTATGTGAGCAAAATCACATTGACCTCTTGTAACTCAAGCAAGGATTGCAATCATACCTCTTTCCACCCCATCGAATGTTACCCTTCTAGATGGAAACACTCCCCCAAGGTTTACTCACAAGATCAAACCTCTTCAAGTAATCATTTTAGGTAACCACCATGAAACCATCAAGTTTTTTGTTTTTCCCACTTCTTACCCTTTGATTATTCTGGGATTTAAGTGGCCACAATAACAATCCTCGTGTTTACAGTCCGCTGTACAGTCCACGCTGTGCCCAGCATCCCGGAATCAGGCACACCCTGCTGACCTGTCATGTGTTCCAGAGGAGTAGCACAACCTCAAGCTTAAGTAAGTAAACATACTCCAATATAATATCCAAAACTCCAATATAGTTTTCATGGAGGTCAACTTCATAGACTGAAACGAGTGCTAAATACAGTGGGTGGTCAACTTTTTCTGTGCTTTTGGAATTTAAAGGGGATGCTCTTCCGGGCAAAATGTTGTAACTGTGTGGGTGAGCGTAATGTTGCACAGGGAGGTTGTGAAGCAAGGAAAAGAACTGCAGAAATTCAACAACTTAAAACAGCAAAAGTTATGCAAACGCAACCAAGAAGGTTCAGAAAAAAACGATAAATCCAAAGAGGTTCAGATTCCACAAAGTACAAAGCTAGAGCAAAACCAAAGAGTCATATCTGGATTGGATATTACAATGGATTTATTAATTCTATCTATGGCTTATGTTATTAACTGTACCGATCAAGAGAAACAAAAACAATGAAAAAATCTAAATCATTGTAAAAGGGGCAGAAAAATTCCTTTCTTTAAAAGATCTATCTTGGGAACTAAGAAACATTAGAATGCATTGAAGAAATTCTTCTATTAAGAAGTTTAATTTGCTCTGATTGTAGTTCATCATTATATTCATTCAAATGCAAGCATTCAGACAGCAGGTCTAATCTCTTATTAGAAATGCATCAGTTGTTGTTCAGAATTCAAGCAATGAGATTACTAGTTTGTTTTATAAGGATTACTTCTCATATACAAATAAAATGGAACAAAATTACTGATAATGATGCAAAATAAGCTTCTAAAAGCAGTAAAACTGATTCAATAGTACAATTTTGCAAAGCAGAAATTAAATCAGTAATTAAGCAAAAGGTTAGAGCAAAATGGGAGAAAAGATTGGAAGAAGAAAAAACAGGAAGACGATTTTATTGCATTCAAAGAAAAGTCGGCATCATGAGGAAAACTAGGAGTAGAAAATACGGAATAATAATATCTCGGTTACGCTTTGGTCATACAGCTACATTTAAATAGTATATTATTTAAATGACAGAAACCTGCTACAGGGAAGTGGGATTTTTGTTTTCAAGAAGTTTTGCCCAAATTATATTGTTCAGAGAAATGAATTGGTAAGTGGACTACAAGCCAACAAGTTACTTCTCAACATTAAAGACTTTTTGGACAAAGACCCTAATCAGAGGGTTATTCTTTATTATTGAAGTACCTAAAACTCACTAATTCAATAAAAATAATATAGTTTGATGCCTGAGTTGTGACCCTGCATGCCAAGCCCTCTGAGCTTGACCTGCTTCATATGCCTCTTTGTGAGAAATCTCACAGCGTGTTTGCTCCCAATGAATCTCTGATTAGCTATCAGATTCCACTCCAGCTAACAACTATAGACTCCTAGAAATCCTCTGCAGATCCCCCATAGAAACTCTGATATGGCTGGCTGGCAGCTCCCACCAAATGTTTCCTTATACTGTCATTAAAATAAAATTTGTTTACTTTTTTTTTTAAATCAAGTGAATGAAATTTTGAATTATCATGGTATTATAAGGCAGTCTGTGAGGTTCTGTGTTTACAGTAATTTACATCTTAAACACTGTATGAGGTAATTGAAACAAAATAAAATGGATGTCAGCAGTGAAACTGTTGGAGCCATGAAACTTTAGTTTTTGACCATCCATCCATCCATCCATCCATCCATCCATCCATCCATCCATCCATCCATCCATCCATCCATCCATCCATCCATCCATCCATCCATCCATCCATCCATCCATCCATCCACGTTCTTATCCTGGGTCGAGTCACAGGTGTAGCAGCTTCAGTAGGGAGGCCCTGACAGCTCTCTCTCCATCAAGAATTAAAATAACTGCTAATCTTTTTCATATCTTTTTTTCAACAAATAATTCTGTAGGTGTTGCACCAGCCTTAATGTACAAATTTGCTGAAAAAATAAAAGACATACTAGCCCTGGTAAGTTTCATTGTCATGATACAGTAAAAGCATCCCAATCTAGTACTGTAATACTGTTTACATAGTACTGACAAGAATTTAAAACTATTTTCATCCTCGCATATTCTCCTGCTGCTTGATAGATGGGTTCTAAAAATCTGGAAAGCACCCAGAGGAACCCTTTCAGCTCTATAACGCTGCGGTACTGATCGACTTACACAAGACAATACCGGAGCAGCATGTCCTTCTAGAT